AAAAAAAAGAGAAGAAAGAAAGAAACAAACAACAAGGCTCCAGGCAATGGCAGTTGGAAACTTCCTTATTCTGACCATGAGAGTTAGTTCATGAAAAGGGGAAAGAATTGAAATGAGACTCCCCTTGATAGAGAAAGCTTTAAACCCTCAAATAAGGACTTTCATATAAGCTTGTAACATGGCTTGGGATTAGGTTATGATGAAAGAAAGGATAAAGGCTCAAAATCTATATATTCCCCTCACATTTCTCTCTTCACTTCCCTGGTCATTAATGTGGGTTAATAGAAAAAAAATCATTCTGGCTTTTGTAAATCTGAATGATTACCTTTTCTGGCTCAAAAGGGAGGTAAGCAAAAGGGCAATGTTCAACTATTTAGGATAGAGAAACAGGGCCTTTCATCACTAGATTTTCAACTTTCCAAGTAAAAGAAACATTTAATTTGTTAGGCTGCCCTTTCAAGTTTTCAACCTAACTCCTTTTTTTTTTTAGCAATAATACATTTTGATAGCATCTGCATTCACTGGGTGATGATAATGGGTTTCATCTGGATATCTCAACAAGAGTGCTCCTCCAAAGAAAGCTTCTTTAACAACATAGGGCTCTTCATAATTCGGTGCGAATTTGCCCCTAGGGTCCTTTTCATCTGGCATGATCTTTCTTAAGACGAGATCTCCTTGATGAAATACTCTAGGTTTGACTTTCTTGTTGTAAGCTGCTGCCATTCGTCGCTAATAGCATTGACCATCACAAAGAGCTGTCAATCTTTTCTCATCAAGCAAATTGAGGTAATCTATCCTTTTTGGAATCAAGTCTTTTTCCTCAATCCCCGACTTGGATAAAATTCTCATTGAAGGAATTTCTAGCTCAATTGGTAACACTGCCTACATTCCATATACCAAGGAATAAGGGGTTGCCCCAATTGAAGTGCGAACATAGGTTCTATAAGCATGGAGAGCATATGGCAACATTTCATGCCAGTCTTTGTAAGTAATTGTCATTTTAGCTAGAATCTTCTTGATATTCTTGTTTGCAGCTTCCACCGCACCATTCATCTTCGGTCAGTATGGAGAAGAGTTCAAATGCTTGATCTTAAATTGCCTACATAGCACAGTCATCATGTCATTGTTCAAATTGCTTGCATTATTAGTAACGATGGCCTTTGGTTGCCTATATTTGTAGATCATCTCTCTCTTGATGAAGCGAGTGACCACCTTCTTTGTAACACTAGCATAAGATGTTGCTTCTACCCATTTGGTAAAATAATCAATAGCAACCAAGATAAATTGATGAACATTGGAAGCTTTAGGATTAATTGCCCCAATCACATCGATGCCCCATATGGAGAATGGTCAAGGAGCCGACATATTATGTAGTAATGAAGGTGGAGCATTAATATGATCAGCATAAATCTGACATTTGTGACAAGCTCATGCGTGCTTGATGTAGTCATGTTCAATAGTCAACCAATAATACTCGGCTTTAAGGATCTTTCTAGCAGGCATTCTTCCATTGGCATGTGTTCCACATATCCTTTCATGGACCTTAGTCATGACTTGTTTTGCTTCTGTTTCATCAACACATCCCAACAAGGTCATATCAGGAGAGCGCTTATACAATGTATTTCTACTTAAGAAGTATGAAGCTGTCAATTTTCTGATTCTCTTCTTGTTCACCTTAGAAGTATGTAGAGGGTATTCCTCATTTTGCAAGAACTATTTAATATCATGAAACCATGGTTTGTCATCAACCTTGATTTCCATGCAATGTGCCAATTCTTGACTAATTTCAATCAATAAAGGCTTGATTACATCATCACTAGAGATTTGGACCATGGAGGCTAAAGTTTCCAAAGCATCCACAAATTGGTTCTTGGCATAAGGCATATGGTTTTAAAGAGATGAATATGAATTTCTTGATGAGAGTTTCAAGATATTGGTGATAAGGAATAAGTTTTGGATCCTTGGTTTGCCAATCACCATTTGTTTGACATATGATTAGCGTTGAATTGCCATATATCTCCAAATCTCGGACATTCATATCCAAAGCAGCATGTATGCTTGCAATACAAGCTTCATATTTGGCTATGTTGTTAGTACAAGCAAAATCAAGCTTTATAGCAATAGGAAAATGATCACCCTTTGAGCATACCAACACAACTCCAAGGCCACAAGCAAGTTGGTTAACAGCTCCGTCAAAGAAGAGCTTCCAATTATCTGAATCAGATTTTGCCTCCATTGCCAAAATGTCTTCATCAGGAAAATCCCAATCAATAAGCTCATAATCCTCTGTTGCATGTTTGGCTAAATAATCGGCAATGGCTTGCCCTTTGATAGCCTCTTGTGTTGTGTAAACAATATCAAATTTGGAAAGCAACATATGCCAACAAGAGATCCTTCCAGAAGAGATAGGTTTTTAAAAAATGAATTTATGGGATCCATTGTTGAAAGTAGGTAAGTGGTGTTGGTTAACATGTAGTGGCGAAGTTTCTTGGATGTCTAGGCTAAGGCAAAGCAAGTTTTTTCTAAGGGTGAGTATTTACTCTCACAATCATTGAACTTCTTGCTCACATAATAAATGGCTCTTTCTTTCTTACCTGAGTTGTCATGTTGGACAAGGACGACTCCCATGGATTCTTCAAGGATAGTGATATACAGAATGAAAGGCCTTTTATTAGTTGGTGGCGCAAAGAGTGGTGGGTTTTTGAGGTATTCTTTGATTTTGTCAAAGGCTTGTTGGCATTGGTTATTCTAGGTATGAGGGTTGTCTTTTTTGAGGAGTTTAAAGATAGGATCACAAATGGTATGAGGTTGGCGATGAAACGGGCAATGTAATTAATTCTTCCCAAGAAACTTCGGACTTCTTTTTGGGTTTTTGGTGGTGGCATTTCATCAATGGCTTTTATTTTGGTTGGATCAATCTCTATTCCTCGGCGGCTCACAATGAAGCCAAGTAGCTTTCTGGAATCCACATCAAAAGTACATTTGGCAGGATTGAATCTCAGTTGGTATTTTCTAAGGTGTTCAAACACCTTCTTGAGATTTTCTATATGTAGCACCTCTTCTTTGGACATAATCACCATGTCATCAACATATAGCTCAACAATAGTATGCACAAAGTCATGTAGTAAAGTAATCATAGAGCGTTGGTATGTTGCCCTGGCATTTTTGAGTCCAAAAGGCATAACTTTGTAGCAAAAGGTACCTCATTGAGTGATGAATGTTGCCTTGAGCTTGTCCTCCTCCTTCATTTTTATCTGATTGTACCCAGAGTTGCCATCAACAAATGAAAACCAAGCATTTTTTGCAGCATTATCTAGCAAAATTTGGATGTGAGGCAATGGAAATCATCCTTGGGGCTTGCCTTGTTCAAGTTTCTATAATCCACACAAACTCTAACTCGGCCATCCTTTTTCATTATAGGAACAATATTGGCCACCCATTCTAGATACATAGCTATTTCAATGAAATTGACATCTTGTAGCTTTTGCACTTCCTCTTTGACTTTCAATAGAACCTCTAGCCTCATCCTCCTTAACTTTTGCTTGATTGGCTTGGCCCCAAAATAGAGTGGAATGGCATGAACTACAATATCTGGATCAAGTCCCGACATGTCTTTGTAGGACCAAGCAAAAACATTTTGAAATTCAACTAAGAGCTCTATCAACTCTTTTCTCTCCTCTGTGGATAGGTGGGCATTGATCTTTATCTCCTTTCTGTCATCTTTAGAACCTAGATTAATGGTTTCTGTCTCTTGGTTTAGCTGTAGCTTTGGTTTTTCTTCACTTAGCATTTGAGTTAGTTCATGAGAAGGATCAAAATTTGCATTGTCTTCTTCACTATAGATCTGATCATCAATCTCATATAAAGTCTGATATGGCATCATTGTTTAAAGGTTTGTCATTAGCAGGCTTGAAAATTATGGATGGAAGTAAATAAATGGCCAAATAATAATAAAACAAAGATAAGAACATGTTACTGGACAACCTCATAAAACATATCATTAAAGAATGGCTTGTACAATGAAAGTTTAAGTAAAGTTGCATCACGATGATTTTTACAATGATAGGTAGGATTGCAGCATGTTTATTGAAAAGGAAAGCATGGGAATATTAGAGGCATGATCACATAAATTTTAGAAAATATAAAAGTGCTTGCTGAATCCTTCTCTTCATGTAGTCACAAGCAAAACTACTAAAGGCAGACTCTTCTTACTCAGAGATGAAAGCTGCAGGGAGAAGTTCCGTTGTCCAATTAACCTAAGAGCTTCCATTAACCAGATAAATTCCCCTATCAAATTCAAGTTCTTCCTCATCTAGAGCATTTATAGTCAAATTTCCCACGAGTCACATAGTGATTCTTCCTTCACTATTTCAAGAGGTACAGACTCATATAAACCCACTAGAGCTTTCGCACAATGAACAGGATGGAAGTTAGGGTGCTTCTCAATAAATGCCCTTTCAGCGAGCATCCTTCTTCACATTTCCTTAGGATCTGTCATGTTGGCTGGTCCGAAGAGGTTGTTGAAACCAAAACTATCTTCCTCAGCATCTCCAAAGAGGTTGTTGAAACCAAAACTATCTTCCTCATCATCAGAACAAACTTCATCATTGATATCTTCCACAACCACTTCCTCAAACTTTGCTTATTTCAAACATTCCCCAATTTCAAGCAAAATCTATCAATGAAAATAGTACCCTCTTGATCTACATATAAAACATCTATATACTTAACCATATATCCATCAAGAGAAGGACACAAAATCTCAACAGTTCATGGAAATGTGACTCTAATGTGCGGCACCCACATTGGTTCATCCCTTGGATCTTTCCCTTGAAGTCTAGCAAGGCACTTCTCCGCTTTAATAGCACACATTCTCTGCCAATCTTTCTTCTTCAGCTTGTTTCCCAAGCCAAAAGTGCCCTAAGCTTGAATTACTTCAACAGGCTTTAGAATTCCTTGTCCATTCAATCCCAAACCCTCTCCCAACTGGTAATGAAATGAAAGCATAATCTCAGCAGCAACCTTGGCAGGTTTAGCCATTTCAGCTCGTTTCCCTCTGAACTTTGGATGTATATAAAAAGTAGCAGCACACTCCATCGAGTGATAAGAGGATTCATAAGTTCCAGGATCAACTCCTAAGTAAGGAATGGCTGTAGCCCTTCGGATGACATGTTCTTCCTCGCCATTCACCGTGACAAGGACACCATTGACAATATATTTGACTTTTTGATGCAAAGTGGATGGTACTGCTCCGGCGACATGTATCCAAGGCCTCCCAAGAAGCATATTAAAAGCAGGAGAAATATTCATAACAAAGAAATCCACATCAAAAGTCACAAGACCAATTTCCACTAGAAGCTCAATCTTTCCAACCATATTCCTCTTTGTTTCGTCAAAAGCATGAACCACTGTATTACACTGATTAATGTGAGACTCATCCACTTTCAACTGCTTCAAAACAATCATAGGAATCACGTTCAAAGATGACCCATTGTCAATCAATACATGAGGCATATTCATCATTTTGCATTGAACAAAAATGTGAAGAGCCTTGGTATGCCCATTTCCTTCATCACAAATCTCATCATCTTTAAAATTAATATAATTTGGAGCTAAGATTGCCCCAACCATAGTCCCAAACTTCTGAGTATCAATATTCTTAGGCACATGGGCCTCTTTCAAGACTTTGAGCAATGTCTCAAGATGAGCCTCAAATGACAACATCAATTCTAAAACAGAAATTTTTGCAGGGGTTTTGTTGATCTATTCAATGATGCTATACTCACTCTTCCTCAAAATATTCAGAAATTTTGCAACTTCATTTTTTGACACTAGCTTCTTGGGTGATTCTTTTGGCATCTCTTCAATTCTGATATCTTTTGATTTCAAAGCAGCCTTTCTCAATTCTTCCACTTCGAGATTCACATAGCACCGACCACTACAGGTCATATTAGACACATCATTAGTTGTAGAGTTCAAGATGACGGGACGTTGAGGCATAACCTTAAGTGAGTAAGGGAAATGGCTATTGGCCACAGATGATGTCTTTCCCATGAATGACTCATTAAGAAAGGTCTTCAAGACATAAGGCTGTTGTGAATTCTAATTGATGACTTGTGCCTTTGTAGTATCTTGCAAAATGTAAGGCCTCTCTTTAATGAAGTATTCTTCCTTCACTGGTGCTATGAATTTCTTTAACTCTGGAGCAAACATAAACTTCAAACATCCCATTCTCCGTAGCTTAATAATTTTTCTTTGAAAATCTCCACAATTTTGCAAAGTATGCCCTTTCATATTGGAGTGATAAAGACACACCAAAGCATCATTAATCATCACTGGTGAAACATTCGAGCTTATTGATGCAATTGGTTGAATAAGATCATACTCTATCAAAATGGCAAACATTTCATCAAGAGACCATGAACCAGCATTCTCCAATACAGGTCTATCAACTTCATCAAGGGCAATCATATTCATGGTGGATGCACCATGTGGAGGTAAAGGATTCTGAGTGATGTTTGGAGCACTCTTAGTTTCATCAAGTTGGAGTTTTCCTTCATCGATGACATCTTGAATTTTATGTTTCAAAGTTGTACAATATTTAGTACTGTGACCTGTTACATTATGATATTCACATTTAGCTTGTGGATCATACCCGTACGGATAAGGTGGTTGCACAGGGTTTGCTTGCACTGTCTACATCAAACCCACTACCACTAACTGTTTCAACATTTCACTATAAGGGATTGGAAGCTTGGTGAACTGTCTTGAGCTATTTGTCAAGGGAAATTGTTGTCTAACTGAAGCATGAGGATTGAAGTTTGGCCTCCTTTGAGGGTAGGTGGTAGACTTGAAGATGAGAGTGTGCTGTAATTGAGGTTGCCGATTGTAAGAAATGTTTGCCATATTATAGACTGGTTTGGCATGACTAGTGAAAATGTGATTCAAAGCTTCCTCATCTTCTTTCTTCCCTTTAGGTGAGAACCTCATCGAAGTAGATCCCGAGCTTCTCATCTTAACTTGCTCTAATTGCCTCTAGATAGTTTGAAAGTCCATAATAATACCTGCCTTCAGTCCATCCTCAAACTGTTCACCCGTTGTCACTAGTTGAGCAAAAATATATCCAACGCAAGGAGCTAACCATTCACGGAAGATCCCGGTAGTTGACTTGATAAAAAGATAGCAGATTTCACTATCGGTAAGAGGTGGAATGACTTTGGCTGCTTCGAATCTCCACCTTTGAGCAAATTCCTTAAAGGTTTCATTACTCTTCTTGGTAATTTCCTACAAGCTATCTCTTGTAGGGTCTAAACACATATTATACTTATACTGCTTCATGAAAACTTGAAACACATCTTTGAAAGTGCGAATCTTCTTCTTGTCAAGTGTTAAAAACCAAACACTTGCTGGGCCTGAGAGACTATCTTGAAAATAATGAATGAGCACCCTCTCATCATTAGCATAAGGTGCCACCTTCCTGGCACACATTTGTAAGTGGGCATGAGGACAACCTGAGCCATCATACTTGTCAAAATCCAACTGCTTGAACTTGAAATTTGTTTGAATTCTCAAATAGTAGTAGAGATCATCCAAATCAATGGAACCATAGACTTGCAGCCCTTGCATAGCCTTCTAAGCCTCTTCGACCTGTTGCAGCTTGTGATCAACCTCTATTGACTTCCCATCCTTTAAAGTAGGCCTTAGCATCGCAGCCGAGGGGTTGGGTTGAATAGTTGGCACTAGTCCCATCAAGGGTGGTATGTTAAAGGTAAGAGGTGAGGTTATGGGCAAGGTAGGGTTGTTCATCTCAAATGGTGGGTATGAGGTTTCAAAGGGCAAAGATGATATTTGTGGAGCATGTGATGATGACTCCCTCACTAAAGGCTGATTCTCATAAATAAGTGGAAATTACAATTGTGTGACCATGGGATCCTTAGCATGATTACTTGGTGTGATGGTAAGGACAGGTAGAACCGGTATTGTGGGTATTAAGGATGTAAGTGAAGGAACCGAACCAATAGTCAAAGTGGACAAAGTGAGATTGATAGTTTGAAGAGTACTAGCCATAGTTTGAATTGTAGCTTCCAACTTATCAACCTTCTCATCCATGACTGATTTCTCTAGATTAGTAGTAGCATTTTTCTGAAACATTTTGATTACTCTAGATCTAAGCAAATACGGAGAACGCCACTTTTTGAAGACCTTTCTCCTTGGAGCTATGATTAGAAGAATTTTTATCTACCAACAAAAATGTAAAGACAAAAAGGAAAAATTAGAAAACTAAAGAGATTTTAGCCCCTTTTGATTGGACCATTAGTTTCCCTTTCAAAGTTCTATATGGATCCTCACATCGGCATTTCCATCTTGTACGAAGATATCCACCCGTTTTACAATGAGTCGTGCTAAAACATGGCTTTTCATTACTAAATAACCGCACTTTAAACAAAGTTAGCAAGCAGTACAAAGTTGCATTCAAAGTTCCTACAAGCCTTCATTCTTTTAAAGCTAAAACAAACTCATTACAGAGCCTAAATCCTAATACAGCCTTTTAAGCACATTAGACATGTCAATGATAAAGTCGAAGACTGGTTGGAAAAATCCCCTCTCAATCGAATGGGTCCTTTAAGTAATGTGGTGATGAGTCTCGGCCATCTTTCCCCCGACCTCGAATTGAGTCACCAAAGCGGTTATGTTGATGACAACTTCATGCAAGTTAGTGTCCTTTTCAACAAGAGCTTGGTTCTTTTGCTTCTCAGCTTGGAGTTGACAGCACATGTCCTCTATGGCAATCTTGTAAAGATCACGGCTAATGGTCATGTCTTGTAGTTGCTCTCCCAATTGCTCATTGGCTTTGTGAAAGTGTTCATTGTCTTTAGTCAATTGGTGTAGATAAGAGATGGTTTCTTTATTGAGCCTTTGAGTACGGGCAAAAAACTCCAACAAAGCCTTGTGTGCAAAAGGTTGCGTCTTGGATGTGTGAGAATCCATATTTCTTTTCAAATATCACCAATGGTTCAAACAAAAAGGGCTTGAGCACTAAACACAAAATGACCAAATAAGGATATTAATAAGAGATTAATCAAATAAAATGCAAATGTGATATAAGGCTTGAGAATTAAAATTTCTATCCTAATCATGGATTTTACTTCATTGGATATACTTTTGACAAGGAAGAAAGATTGCATTCAGTCAAGCAAGTTTTCATTATTTGTCCAAAAGCTCCCAAGTAACCCATCTTTCTCCAAGCTCTTCAAGTTGTGCTCTCCTTCTCCCCTTGCTTTGACTGCCTTGCCGTTTGTAATTCCTTTTGTAGAGCATCATAATCATACAATAAGTTGTTGTAAGCATTCCTACACTTAATCACTTTTCCTTTCAACTCTTACTGTTCAATCATTTTCTCCACAAGCTCTTTGTTCTCCTTTTCTCTTGCCTTAAGATCCGCCTTTACTCATAGTAGCTTTTTCCTTTGTTCTTCGGCAAACTCCAAGCTCCTATTTTGCTTCCCACAAATTTCCTCACTAGCAGCCAAATCCCTTTCTAAAGAGGCAATCTTGTCTGTCAACCCTGCCACTTGTTGATCGGACAACTCCTTCCCTTTTTTAAGCAATTCATGATCAAGAGCTAACTCATTATACTTCTCTAGCAACTGACATTTTTTAGCATGGCTAAGCTCCAACTTAGCGGTTAAGTCCATGATGGTAGAGTTTTTCGTATTTGTCACCTTGCATAGCAAAGGAAGCTTAGCTTTCCAACTCGATCTCCATTGCTCATATTGTGGTCCAGTCCCTTTCTCTTTCCATATAGGTAACATCCTACATTTCTCCCACATCTCATGTGCTTTGAATACCTTGTCAACAATTGCCAGGGAAGACATGTAATCAAAGTGTGACTACAATGCGTCATCAAGATAGGGAACACTTTGTGCTTTTCCAAATTGACGAGATGCCAATTCCACTAAATATGTAACCTCTCCATGAATACCCAACAAAGGAATAGAGTGATATCCATCGGGTGGAGCAAGATAATGAGTAGCATTCCAAGTCAGGAGAACAAATCCGACTTCATTAACAGTTGCTGCTAGAAGTGATCGATGCCAATCCTTGGTCTTTCTATCTTTCACAGGAACATTGAATAAAGCTTCAAATTGAGGACCCCTCAAGTGACCATGTGCCTATGCAATGAACAACTCGATGCAACCTGAGAAGTGGTCGGATCTTGTAGCCTGGATTTCTTTCATAGACCACAAAGTTTCAGCTACCACTGTAGAAGCAAGATTAAATGTCAAAGTTTGCCATAATTGCTCAAACAAAGCTACCAACATAGGTGCAATGATCCTGACATAGATAAGGAAGATCACCATGCCATAAATTCCCAATGCCACAAAGTTGATCCTTTAAAAAGATGTCATGCCTTACAATCTCTTTCCCAAAATCATTAACGCCGCATTCCAATCAAACCCATAAGAATTATCTCTAGTTGTCACCAATGATTGTGAGAATTCAAATGAAAATCCCCACATAGCTTGCAACATTTCTTGAACTTTTTCTAGTGTGAGCTTCATATGTTGTGCTTGAGGAGTGAAGGTACAAGAATCCACTGCAAGACTATTCCGTAGGAAGTGATGCTACTCATCAATGGTGGGCACCAACTCAAATTGTGGGAACACAAAAGCTTGATATTGAGGGACATAGAATTTCAACATAGCTCGGAACAAGTTCTAATTCGGCACCACTGACAATAGATCCTCGATTCACCCAAATCGAACCTCAAAGTCATGCTTCTCTCTAGAGGATAACAAGCCATAAGCTTCTTTCAACAGTTTCAAGTCGGGTTTGGAGGTATTGACTGAAAAGATTGACTCCCTAGCCTTCTTAGCAGTAGAATGAGATGTGACATCCTCCCTAAGTCTTTTCCCTTGTCTAGTTGTATCCTCAATAAAATCCATGTCTAATGCATGATCTTACCTAAACACAAGGCTTAAAAGAGTTAAACACAAATCATACCCTCAAATGCCATACCTCATTAAGTGTGCAAAAATAAGCTGCCATATGCGCAAATGAAGGTTAGTGAAGTAAAATGCCCCATTTATGCCTTAAACACGGGACGCTTAGCCTCACCGGTGGGATGCCAAGGGCAACATGTCCTCAGGTTGGTATCTCTCTAAGGCCAATACATGTTTTCCTAAAGGGCATTAGGCCTTCTCAACCATTTATCCTTTCAGAATCAACGAAAGATATTTCCAAAAGCTAATACATAAGATGAAATTACATTATCAGGTGTTGTATTAACCCATGGAAACAACCTAATGGGAATCGATCTTACTCCTCAAAGCAAGAACAATTGCTCTTCCAAGCCGATTGATAAGGATTCCAGACTAGAGGTCGGGTTCATCTCCAACACAGACCTAATGCAAAATGAGAGTCAATGTGTGCCAGGGGCATGACACTCCAATAACCTACACAATGACAACCAAAAAAATAGCAACATATATCCCATAGCAAGCAAATAAAGCATGTAAAGCACTCAACAAACATAACAGTCAACAAATATAGCACCCACAAACAAAACCTACTTACACAACAAGAAGGGACTCACCTAATACTCCGATGCCAAATGCAAAAGGTTAATACATCTACACACAAGCAAGTAGGCATGTAATCATGATGCATGATCAATAAGCATGTTATATCAATGATAGATGAGCATGTGAGATGATATGATGCATGAACATGTAAGCAAGGTATGATGCATGTCAAGATGTAGAAAGGTAACCACTCAAAGATAAAAATGCTCAAAGTAACCACTAAAACAATGAGCAACAAGCAACAAGCAACAAACACATGCAAGAAAACGACAAAGACCAACAAAGACTCAACAAGCACAGAAAAATCGAAAGTTGAAAATTCCCCAAAGTTAAAGTATTCACTCGATCCTCGTGAACCAGAATATAGAAACCATAGATTTTGGGTTTGATCCCCAGTGGAGTCACCAATCTGTTGACAACCACTTAAAATTTCAAAATAATGAAAAATTAAGTGTGAAAAATATAAGAAAAAGAGGAGTCGTTACTCGTTTAAATTATAAAGTGAGAAAAGTCACCTTAAACGGGTCTGCATAGAGATCGAGGTTCGAGGGTTAGGTTAGAAGTGAGAAAGGCCATGCGCACACCTCACAATCCTCCGTTTAAACATGGTTGCGTACTTTAATATTGGTGTTTTAATTCAGCTTATTTATTATATTTATGTTTAAGTCTTAATAGGTAAACTAAAAAAGGATAAACTAAATTGAAACTTTTTAAAATTTTTGCACAAAAATGGACAAAATCAAAGACATGCATGCATCATAAGCACAAATAAAAATTAAATGGACTAATTTGATTAAATTCAAAACATGAAGAACTGATTTAAAAAAAGATTTGAAACCTTGGGACTGAATTGCTTAATCGTAAAATTTTTGAGGGAAATTGAGATAAAATGAAAGATAACTTGTGCTTTGACCCAAATTAAAGAAAATTGAGAATTGAAATTAATTAATCAAGATAATTAGTTTAATTAATTTAACATTGAGATAATCAAATAAATCTAATCTTGAACTAAATTCAATAAATATGATTAATTTATTTTAATTAAAATTAATTAACTTCATTAATCATAAATTAAACTAATTCACTTTATTAATTAATAAAATTTTTATATATTTATATTTTTTTAGTTTTTAACTGGATCGGATTAAATTGACCCGACCCAAGAACACAATCCATCAAGCAACACATGCGAGAAACAGATCAAACATGAAAGGAATGAAATCACAATTTAGGGTTCATCTTTCAAGAAAAAAAAAAAAAAAAAAAAACACATTCGTCGAGTAAAAAAAACATTAGGCACATGAACTGAATCATTCCTTGATTTTTCATTCATTTCCAGCAAACATACACAAATCTAAC